CAGCAGCAGCAGCAGCAGCAGTCCTCCCACCCCCTGCCCCCCGGTCAGACGTCGGCCCACCCCCTGCCAGCTGGACAGCCCACCCAGCAGCCGCTCTCTTCACAGGTCCCCGTGAGCCACAGTAACTCAGTGGTCCAGGTGTACAGCACGCTGCCCCATATGGCTGGGGGTGGTGGTGCAGAGATCCACACCCTGGGTCTGCAGCCTTTCCATCCTGTACAAGTGAGTAAAGCGTGCTGTGTCATATTGATTATATTATGCACTATTTAATTGCAGGTATTCTATGTATTGTATGATTAGATAAGGCATGTAGTTATATGCATGAGGACTCAAACTGAAGAGCACTGAGCCCATGTGTCTCCCTCAGGTGCCCAGTCAGTGTGTGGAGAGCCAGCCATTCACCACCCCTCCCGTCTACAGCCCCGGGAATCAGGGAACCAAAACAAAAATCTGCAGCATCACCACCAACCTGACAGAGCTGGGCGACTTTGAAAAGGTCATCATTCCTAAACGGCCGAGGAGTAGCAAAAAAAGCCCAGAAGGAGCCACGGGTATGTGAGGAAAAACATCAAACAACATTGCAAGTTTATTTTATTTTTTTAAATGCACAGGCAGATCAATGTTAAATGTGCTTTTTAGTCCTTTTGAACCTCTGTCCAGAAAGGACTTTGTTAAATGATATACTGGTTCAGCATTTGTCCGTTATAAAACTTAAAGGCTACATTTATTAATGAATAAAACTGCACATGATGACACAATAACCATGAAATGTACGTTGATCATGGTAGGATAAATATTCATTCACTGAATTTCACTCCTCAGCAGAGCAGCTGAAAGGAAAAGGTCCAAAGCTGAAGTGTAATTTCTGTGACAAAATTTTCTCGAAAAACTTTGACCTTCAGCAGCACATTAGAAGGTGAGTTAATGGCCAACATGTTGAAACAGAAGAAAGGGACTCAATTTCTTTCCACTCATGGCGTCTATTTATTTTCTCCCTACAGTCACACAGGAGAGAAACCGTTTCAGTGCATTGTCTGTGGCCGAGCCTTTGCCCAAAAGTCCAACGTGAAGAAACACATGCAGACACACAAGGTTCTACATACTAAATAATGCTTTTGTAATTATTTTGAATGAATTATATTTTGTAATTATTTCTTTTTTTGTAAATTGACCGTTTGCTAAGCACTGCGCACCATATTAAGAAGGTTAGGCAAACGGTCAGTTGACTACAGTTCCTTTAACTTAACCAATTCTGAATACTCAATGAATCTGCATTTTAGTGTTTATTAATTTAACAGTAACAACATTCAAATTTAATGAACTGTTGTCTTTAAGAGCCATTCATCGCTATTGACTGGGATTTTTTTGTTTTGTTCATGGACTATCCTGTAGTATTTTGTTTGCAGTAAAATTTGCTTCCTCAGATTATTCCTATAAGATGTGAACGCAGCGTAGTGCCAACAACACAGTAACAACAACTGTCTTTATTTTAAAGGTGTGGCCAATGGGTGTGGCCAGCACAGTGTCAAGATTACCAATCACAGTAAAGGTGGTATCAATGTCATCCAATGAAGAGGAGGGGAGCGGGGAGCAGCAGCAGGGGGAACCAGAGGAGGAAGGGTCACAGCAGCAGAACAGTCAAGCAGAAGAAGAGGCATCTTCAGGTAATATCTGTTTAACACACCAAACTGACACATCCAAATATTCATGCAGAGAATCTGAATTATATTGATGACATTATGCATGAAGTAAAGCTTTGAATAAAATAAAAGCTGCTGTACCAACAGCACCATAAACAATAGAGCTTAAGTTGCCTGTTTATTAGGTACCCCCCGTTAACTCATACTTTTGTCCTGCTTTTAGGACAAAAAATTCTGATCCCAGTTATAAAAGCAATACCAACTGATCCAGCCTTTTTCAGTAAATACAATGCTTGGTTACAGAAGCTCCAGGGGAGTTGGAGGAGAGTGCGACCGAGGCCGATCCCGAGGGTAGCGGAGGGGAAGTCATGCAGAACGGGCATCCTCAGGTACAGATGCAGGCGCAGTCCGATCAGAACCAACAGTGCCAAGCTCAGACCAAACAGATAGTTGTGATAGACAGCTCCTACCAGTGCCAGTTCTGCGCCAGCAAGTTCAAGACCTACTTTCAGCTCAAGTCCCACCTGACCCAGCACAAAGGGGAGCAGGTGAGTACAGAGGAAGGTATATGTTGGGCTCTGTCAACCTGCAGAAAATCTGACTCTTGATTGACAAAGGCAATGCATCAAAGTGACCACTATCTTTTTATTTTAGTTGGGTTTTTTCACTGCGTGGTTCTGCAAATGAAAGCACAAGAGTCTGCCTGTGTGGTGCATTTATGGGCATCTTGTAACTTTAGAGTCAGATGCTGAACAGCAGCCTTTTTATTTCAAGAAGCTACCAACTTCAGATTCTCTTTTCTCCCAAAGTCAGTGTTTGCCTATTTGTCTCATGGCAGACGACAGCTGACGTTTTCCAACCAGTACATGGTTACAGACAAGCAGACTTCTTAAAGCCCCACAATAATAAAGTCGTTTTGACAAGATATATCGAGTATCGCTGTCCTGTATTACCCTCGTCAAGCACATTTCTGGTCTCTGCACATTTCTATTCATTATTTTATTAGTAATATAAAAAGCCACAGCTACCTGGAAGGTGGGAAACACCTTTAAAAAATGCATGAAAGGACATGTATTAGAAAATGGTGGGCAGTAAGGTGGGATAAAATATGTAAAAACACTGGATTCATGTTTTTTTTTATTTCTTACGTGACATCTTACCACTTCCCTGCAGGTTTATAAGTGTGTGCTGAAGTCCTGCTCTCAGACCTTCCAGAAGTTGGATCAGTTCCTGGAGCACATCAGGACGCACCAGGAGCAGCTGACCTACCGCTGCCACCTCTGCAGCAAGGTGTTCCCCTCACTGTTTGAGCTGGGAGTCCACCAGTACTCCCACTGCTTCTGCCCACAACAGAACACACGCAAAGAAACTACCGTCTACAGGTCAGCTCAACCACTTATCCCTGTGTATTGATGATATATTAATTATAGCAGAATAGAGGGAGGAACACTGGAATCCCTAAATCAGCTGAAATGGCCTCAGTTTTTGTTGAGCTGGGGTATGCAAGTGTTTCAGGTCTTGGCAGAAAATTGTTTTATATATAAAATTAGTTTGTTTGGCTTTAAATTCCAAGTAAACCCGGGAACACAGATCACATGGACTCATGAAAAACCTAAAACCAACAGTGAATTGGTCCTTCTAAAAAGTATTGCTTGTGTAGCCAAGGCCTGATATATCTTAGAGCCCCATCATTGTCTAAAATCTATTAAAAACACATCAGTGAGCCACATTGTTGTACTGGGTGACATTTTCCCTCATTATGATGAACATGGGCACTGTAGTTTATTGTGAGTCTATCCCATGTACACCGTCCTGCTGCCATAAATACTCACTAGAGCACCAAATGTGTTAATTAATCCGCAACTGAAAATAGTCCTCCTGTTTGAGTAGGGTTTGCTAATAACTACAGTGCCCAGCAGTAATAGGAAACTATCTAACCTTTAAAAAAAGTTATACTATATATTTATTAGCCATTTATAAAGACTTACATTGTCAGTAAGGATGAATGGGCTTTAGTGCCACAGATATGGTAGGGAGATATGGAGCATGATGGACTTCTTCTCGGCTGTTTCATACCTGTTATTGACAAAAATGTCCAAAATCTTCCTCCAGGCTGCAGTTGGTCCTCAGCCCCTTTTATGTTCTTGCATGGCTGGTATGTGTAGGGTCAAAGGAGACATATGCTACAGTAGTTTGTTGGTACATCATTCTTATTTCTAACAGAAATCACCTTCCTGCGTTTCGCTTCAGGTGTGTGAAGTGTCAAAGCAGATATTCTACCCAGGAGGCACTGGAACAACATCTACTGACTGCCTCACACAGCTTTCCCTGCCCACACTGTCAAAAGGTACTGTCCACATTTCACAGTATACAGAGTTTTAAATATGGAGTCAACTTACAATTGATGCGTTTTATAACAACCAGCAATGCCTGTGTTTTTGAAAAGGGGCCCAGTCCATCGTTGTTTAGCTTGCCAACCCCTGCCAACAAAGCCAAACAGTCAGTATTTCAGAGTTCAGCCATTCTGCAGAATCAGATCATTCTCCATCTCCATCCTCTATTTACTCCGTGGACGCACCATCAAACACAGGCTGGTCATTTCCTGGAGCTGACAGCAGCACACTGGCCAAACTACTGGAGTTGTCGGAGAATCACTAAGCTTGTCTATTAGATGCAAGAGGTGTCACTTGGGTTTACTTTGGTTGGCCAACGGTTGTATGTCTCAAACTGAGTATTTTTATGTTCTTTCTTAAATCCCAAAGAAGAGTTATTTTGTTGAGATAGGGATTAATTCATTGTTAGCTGAACTGTTGTTCTCTTTCTCTGTCTGTCAGATTTTCCCATGTGAAAGGTACTTCAGACGCCACCTCCCCACTCATGGCATTGGAGGGAGGTTCAAGTGTCAGATCTGCAAGAAGGCCTTCAAGACAGAGCACTACCTCAAGCTGCACACACGTATTCACTCAGGTCTGAATGTGTATCATAAAACTCTCTTGTCTCTCTGACACTGGTTTTTGCCAAGCCACTAAACAATTGTGCGTCGTCTTAGGCTGATTTGGTGACGTTTTTGCCGTCCTATGCTGGAGATTCTCTGACGATGTTTGTGTCTGTTTTTAGTTGCGTTATAATACATTAATAATGTCTGAGTAAACTCTTAGGCTGCTGATGAAGCATGCTGATGTTGATGTATCTCTGGCTAAAATGTTAGCATTGGAATAGTAAAAACACTTATATATATCATATATGTATCTATATATGTAATCTAAGTGCCTGCTGTGATTACGTAATCAAGGTAAAGGTGTGAGTTTGACGCTGATTCCATTTTCTAGGTGAAAAGCCATACAAATGCTCCCTCTGTGAGGCGACGTTCAACAGGAAGGATAAAGTGAAGCGACACATGCTCATCCACGAACCCTTCAAGAAATACAAGTGTCCCTTTAGGTGAGGCTCTCCAGTGGAAAAGCTGGATTAGCTGAAGTCACTGAAACAGGCCCTCTCATTTAACCCATTCTTCCCTCCTTCCCTATTGGATTCTTTTCAGCTTTTCTCACATCTAACCTTTCATCTTCCTCCTCACTTCTGCTTTCATATCCCTCTTTTTTAAATTTCCTTTCAGACTGTCTTACCTTTGTCACAAGACATTTAATCTGTCTTTATGCTAACATTTCTGTTTTTGCATCAGGTCACACGTAGGCTGCACCAAAGAATTCAACAGACCAGACAAACTCAAGGCCCACATTCTGTCACATTCTGGTGAGTTAGTAATAGCAGTGATATTTTGGATCTAAACAATGATGATGGAATATTGTTTGTAATGTTCTGATAAGTCAAAGACTTAATTCAATTTTATTACCACATGATTTATTTTTTTAAAAACCAGTCTGTTAGCAGAATACGTAAAGAAGGAACAGATTCTTATATTAGATATTGGTGGTGACCCAGACGTGGAAACAGTTCACTTGGATGAATGATGTTTCTGGACATACAATTATAGACTTGACTGCAAATCCTAAGGGGAAAATGAAGTGTGAGGAACAAAATCTTTAGGTGTAGTAGCCAGTTTCTTCAGCATCTTAATATCCAAGAATTGTTTGTATCACTGAAACATCAAAAACCATTATTGCCATTATTACACTGATTCTTATAAACTCCTCTCTCCCCCAGGTATCAAACCCTACAAGTGTCTATTCTGTCAGAAGGCGTTCAGCCGCAGGGCTCACATGCTCGAGCATCAGCAGTCGCACACAGATAACTACCGCTTCAGATGCTCCACCTGCAACAAGGGATTCACTAGACAGAGCTATTACAGAGATCACAAATGTCCTGCAGCAGGGAACGGGACAGGAAGTGAAGGAGGGACTGGAGAGGCAGAGGGAGACGAGGTCATAGGAGTGCCGATGGCAGAGGAGAAGGATGAAGAGGATGACGGGAGAAGAAGCAGGTTTGCGAGAATAGCGAAAAGGCCAGTGGCTGGTGGAGATGACGGAGAGGAGGACGACAGCTCTAAGAGCAGCCAAGAACAAATGGAAACACACGGGGAGGAGGAGGAGGAGGAGGAGGAGGAGGAAGAGGAAGGGAGGAGGACTGACGAGGGCTGTCAGGCTGCAATGTCTATAACCACCATTGAAGGGCAGACGGAAAGAGAGGAGGAGGAAGACAGGATGGAACATGCTGGCGAGGCACTGGAGCAGATTCAGAGCAATGACCAAAACTGTTTGCAGCAGCCATGTTTGTAGTTTTAAGCATGATCTTTGTAGGAATGTCTCCTGGACATGGACCAAACAAACTCCATCCATTATTTATTTTTTTTTTAAACTGTGGATCTGGGAAATTATTTCATTATTTGTTTTAAATTAAAACATTATGTAAATGATAGGCACTGTTTTTATGTGTTTTACTGTAAATGAAAATAAGGGTACAGTTATGTTACCTGGTAGATCCATATTGCCAAAATAACCTGTGGACCTTTTCTGTGTTTGTGTGCAACATTTGTGCAAGTTAAGCCGCAGTGGTTCACTTAAAATGTCAAAAACCAATGGCAACATTTTTTCTGTTTTTATGTAGCAAAAATGAAATGATTATAAGTTTAAATTATATTTATGTCCATATAAATATTCTTCTTGTAAAATTCCAAGCTCTGATACTCTTTTACTGTCATGTATGATCAGTTCGACATTCAGTTTCTGCTCACGTGTTGGTGTACACTTTCCTTCAACTGTGCTTGTTTCTACTTCACTTGGTCATTTCTTACATTTCTGAGACTACCTAGTGGGGGCGCAAATAAAAGGGCTATATCCAAATGTAGCTAGGCATGAAAAGGTGCATCCGAGTCTGAAGTAGTGAGGGCTGCCCAATTCTACAGGTAGACAGAGGTCACCAGACTAATTCCACCTGCTGGTGTTATTTAGTAATAATAAAATCACAGTGAAATACTGGTAATAATTAGTATGGCCTAAATGTATTATGTATTATAATGTATTATACTATACATTTATTTCAAATACATGTTTAATTTGTTTCAGGGTTACGCTCTTTTCATCCAACAAAGAAAAAATGTGGTCACCATTACAAAAAGATTCTTACAACTAGTTGCAGAAATGGCACCCGCAAGTAAGCATACCGTACCTAACAAAAAGTTGCCTATGTGTGTGAAAGTATATAGAATAGTCTGTGGAATGATATTAAGATGAGATTTAAAACCAATTAATTGAATTAGATTAAAAAACATACACAACACCTGTCAACAGTAAGCACTGTATGTGCACAATAATTGATAAAGCCTTTAAAGTCAAGTGAATCAATTTTATTCATATAGCCAAAAAGCACAAATCTTTCTCAGGTTATAATCTGTAAAACATGATTCAGATTAGGAAAAACTCCCAAAAAACCCTTTACGGGAAGAAAAGGGAGAGACCTCAATAAGAGCAACAGAGGAGGGATCCCTCCTCCAGGATGGACATACTGTAAATGCAACAGATATGTGCACAGAGGACACGGAAGTAGCAGTAAACACAAGTAAATTAAATACCTAACTTGTAGCATTGTTTGAATAAGGGGTAACGAGACATGCCGGCAGTTATAACAGGAGTTTTGGACAAAAAGTTGATGTGTAAATTTAAATAAAATCAATTTATATAGTGCTAAATTGTGACAGTAGTTATTTCAGGACACTTTTTGACACTAAGAGCTGGTGTAAACCGTACTCATATTATTTACAGAGACCCAAAAGTTCCCACCACCATGAGCAAGAACTTGGTGACAGTGGCAAGGAAAAACTCCCTTTTCTACTGGCAGAACCGGGCAGAGAACATAGCATGAAAATTCCATATAGAGATGTAAGTAATAGTAATGGTAGTATGGTAGTGGTTATAATATTGCTACAAATAACCATAAGAGTTAATTAATAATACAATAATAATAGTGACAATAATGAAAGCCATAATAAGACTATTAATTGTAGCATTGTGTGGTGAGCAGGAGCATGGGGGCAGTAGGTGGCTGGCAATTATAGATCCAGCTCTGAAGGCAGAAATACCTGCAGAGAGCGATGAGAAAGCACAAAACTACAGGAGAGAACGATGTTGAGTTAGTAACATAATAGGATAGGGATGTATACAGAGGGGGATGGAAAGGAAGAGAGACGAGCTCCTTGAATCATAGGAAGTCTCCTAAGGCCTATAGAGGAATAACTACGGGTAACCCTGTAACCCTGCATTCTGGGAGCACAGTGTTCAAGTGGGGGTAATGGTACTATGAGCTCTTAAAATATGTTGGTGCATGATCATTAAGGGCTTTGAATTTCAATTCTGTTCTGCACCTATGGAGTACCTAGTGGAGTAAATGGCATTTATACTCAGGTACTTAGCCATTTACTCCATTACTAAGTCATTTACTCAATGACTTAACTAATTACTGAGCCGTGTAGTCACTTAATTAGCCAGTTTTTAAGTTACTGAAGAATTAATTTCGCTCAATTCTCAGTTTCAGGTTTTAAGGTATCTAAGGTTTTGAATTTTAGCATTTTTCAATGTAAGGTTTAAATTCCTACAATGTGATTTTGACTTGCAGTTACTAGAAGTTGGTAATTTTTTTTCCATTTAAAAGCTTTTTAATGTGGATTTTTTGAGTTTACATTTTGATCTTCTTTTTCCTTTTGCAGTTACACTAGGGTATTTCACGTCACTGCAGTGGTTTTTTTTATATATATATTTTTATATTTGAGCATGTTTAACCTTTTGTGCAGGTATCTTTCTCTTACTTATGACTTATTCTTAAGTCTTTAACGTATCAATACAATTTTGTATTTTAGCGTGTTTCATTGCATGTTTGGAATATGAATTTTTTGGTTTACATTTGGATTTTTTTACTTGCGCTTATAAGAACTTATACAAGTATGTCTTAGTTGTTTTTATATTTTAACCTTTGAGCAAGATGAACCTTCTCTCATGGGTATCTCCCTACGCTTATTTTGCTCAGGTTAAGCTAGGTTTTCATGGCAATGCAGTTTTAGGTTTCAGCAGATTTTAGGGCGTGGTTTGAAAATATATTTCTTCCATTGTTTAAATGAAAGATTTTTTTAGCGTATTTGAGGTTTGGAAGGTTTGCATTTTTCTACTCGCGTTTGCTAG